GACAAATAAAACCACGATTCCGGTGCTCGAAACGACTTCTTCTCAATCTATGAGATAAAATTATAACAAAAGCCTCTTGACTCACATTAAGAAGAACTGAGTAACTAGAAGTCTCAAGGCTCATGAATTTATCGAGAAGGCTTTAACATGATCATGCGATAAGCAATAAGAGAATAACAGAGGATGTTCTTCATTCGAGGAGGAGATCGACAACATAGTTGGTTTAATTTGAGTTGACCCAATTGTGAAGAAACTGGAGGCGTTCGGCGGGCTTTGAACCCGCGTAGGAAAGAAGGCCTTTACCGGAAGCCAAAGCTCTACCCACTGAGCTTCAAACCACTGGGCGTTTGTAGCTCAGTGGTTAGAGCGGTGGCTTCCGGTAAAGGCTTTCTCTATTACGCGGATTTAAATCCCGCCGAATGCCTCGAATTTTTTCAGAATTGGGTCAACTCAAATTAAGAAAATCCTCCAAGCCTCCTAATAGTTAGTTTACGCAAAGCAACTATTGCATTAGACACAGCGGCTGCGAAAATATTTAAACAACTGCTCAATAGTGTGCAGGAACAGGAACCGTACTACAGTATAATCTGTCTGTGTCTTGTGTTCCCCGCACCAAGGTAGACAAGCAAGACCAAGCTTCCGCTGTTTGAGTTGGCACTCAGTGGAGCGTCTAACAGAGTAGAATTTAACTAAGAAAATTATGAGATTCTACGCTAGAGGAGGCGCTAAGCCTGATCTTACTTCTGATGGAGCGGTAAATAAACATTGAAGGCAACATAAGCTATGTAAGGAGGATAATTCTTCAGACTGATGATTAGAGTATGGTGCGTTAATCAAATAAATGTGAGCTGCATATCGACCTTTCCTGTGCGTCTTTGTTACTTTCCGTTTCTGCCTCTTGCTCAGTTCCACTACTTGCTCAAGAAACCAAGAACAATCCTTTTCATTTGTTTCATCTATCACTCACATCTTTGCATACACCTTCAGATATAGATCTCCGTAAGCAATCATAACGGTGGGTTATGTTTTGCATGACCATACCGTGATTGAGAGACTGCGTTTATATGCGGCATGGGCTGGATCTGACTAGTTATGGCTATTCTCCTGTCTGGTAGAAACATATCCGTAGATAAAAGCAAGGGTAGTGGGCAGTTTTCCTAAATATTTATACAAATGTTTGTTCAGTTCTGCATAAAGACAATGTCTGGTGGTCAGTAGTTCAGACTTAATCCCTGTGAACAAGAAGAACGTTATAGTCAAGGGTACAGCAGAACGCAGGTACTGATGTGTCTGACTGTGCCTTTAAAAGTCACAAAGACCGCTTACACTGTGCGATATATCAGAAAAATAGTAAAATTATCACGGCGCACACTGAAGGATGGCATTTAATGGTGGAACCTCCAGAGGGAAAACGTTTGTTAAACAGTTAAAGCTAGAAGCAGTTTTGCATGGAAATTTCTTGCAGTGACAGGCACAAAGGTTCTAATGCGTACATTCTCAGAGGAATTGAGTTTTTAGTAGGCGAATCAGCGTGAACTTTGGCAAGCGGTTTTACATATAAACTATCGTTGGTTTTTTGCCCTTCTAAATTTATTTCCGCTGCCTATGGCCAAATTACTGACCCTTTTTAAATTCCTGCTGGCTATTAATCGTTTCTGAAGTATCGAACCTCAAAATATTAAGCCAATTTCCGCTTTGAGCTGAAGGGAGCATCTTTCTGATTCTCGTAATAAATTGAATGAACAGACGAAATATAAAAAGCCCTACGTAAATTCCGCAAGAACTACGACAGCCAAGAATGAAGACAATTAGAACGATTATTTGGGACGTCCGATATTACACCTTACCAAACTGTGAAATACTCGGCGGCCTCGGTGGCGTGCGAGCCCACAACATTAACCGCAACCCTGGTGTAAGCTAATGTGTAACAGGCTAAGCGGTTTTCAGAATCTGCCAATAGCGCCAACAAATATGGTCTTGGTTATAAACTGAAACTTAAATGCTTTAAGGTGGAATTGGTAAGCAAATTGTGTATAAAATCTCAGAAATATAAGTAAAAAGCCTCAGAGAATAACTGGCTATATTTGAGTAGCAGCAGTAATCAAACACGACAGCTCGCTACACAAATGGAAATTAAATTTGCCTAAAATAATCAGAATTTCAGAGTGAACAGTCTACTTGCATAAAAGATAAAGCAGAGCACCTGCAAAGCCAAGCACTACAGTTAGTGTCAAGATGACTTATTCCCACGGAAATGCTTTCGTGTCACCAAGCGCTCGAACAAGGAGCCTGACGCAACGATATAGTTATTCATCTTAAAAGTTACCAAACCTCACGCCTTATTTTCTTTATTGCTCTTTTAAGCAATTTAGTAAAGGATCGCTCATAAAAAATAAAATAAACAGATTTAAAAATCGTATTTTATGCTCATAATCAGTTTGAGTTTACCGTATTAACTAGATGTATGTGTTCATTAATTAACTTTTTTCATAGTAGAAATTCCAGATGAAAGAACAAAAACCAGAAGGCATAAACAGAACAAGTTACCTGTCGGAGAATTCGTTGTTCATAATCATCGGCGGTTTCGTATCGCAACGGCAAAATCAATTTATCAGTTGCGTTGCTGTAATAAAATCCAACTTTTGTCATTGCTGTTGAGGAATCATGAAGAGTCTCCTGTGTAGCGTGCTTCATCTGGTAGGTCTGCACCTCTCTGGAGAACATGGGGACTGCCGGCTTGCGAATGGGCTTCGGTAGCGTTTGGGCAGAAGCGTTGTGAAACACCCTCTCATCCAGTTTACTTTTGTATCCACCCAAAAAGGGTTTATTTCGATCTTTTGACATCCAGTTAATTTCAACGACGCGGTTAACTTCGACGCCAGATTTGCTGGTCAAAAATACGGATAATAAGTCTGGTTCACCATCTTCGTATTCTCTTTCAGTCTTGTATACGTACACATCGACCCTCTCTTTCTCTGTTAGCATTAACTTCCTTGAGCCCAACTTTATTTTGGTTGTTTTCGAAGGATCCTTGATGTGACATTTTAAGTCATTGACGTCATCTGTATCTTTGAATGTAGTCGCCGGTGTCATTGTATTGGTAAGAATTTTCCCGTTGTGTAAGAGCTTTATATTCTTAAAATTATCATCGCATTCGATGGCAATCAATCTCTTCAGTTCCTCAAATGGTACATTTTTTGGCAATTTTGTAATAAGCATTGTGGTGCTATAAGGAAACTTGACGTTAACTTTTCCTGTGTATACTGTTGGCAGCTCTACGGCATTATTGTTCTTAGCTTAGGCAATAAAAACAGTAGGGTAACTTACGAAATTCTTCCATCGCGTCCGCATTTATTACTCCACCCTCAATGTTAAGTTCATTTGTTTGAATAAAGCTGCTTTCAGTAGATAAGAAAGAAGTATGCAAATTTTCTTTCGCATCTACAAGTGACATAGATATCAATTAAAATAGTTATTTTAGAATATCATAGAAATCGCCCGTTTAGGAACAAGCTTATTACCGTTTAACGAGGGTGTCCTGCTTAGGGTGTTTGATCTAAACGCTGCGCTGGACAGATCATTCTGTTCTGCATTTTCTGTATGGGTCTCGGGGATAATGTTAACGCCCTCTTCATTCATGCCGCCCACTCACAGCAGGTAGAGCGTCATGGAAACGGACATACGCCAATATTTAAAACTTCGCGAAGGTCGCAGATGAAATAAAAGGTCTGCGAGAAGCAGGTGCTTCATTCAAACGTATATGAATTATGCCGATGAGACAGATTTAAATGTCAGTAATTTATCTTAAAAGTGAAGCATGTATTTAAAAAGGCTTCGGCTATCGGTGAAGAATTGTCATGGTAGAAAACGAGGCCTTAAATTCAAAGTTAAGAAGCTTTGTGCGCAATAGAGACCGTCCTAACTCCACTGTCGGGTCTCATTTGGCTTTTGTTTCATGCGAACCACTGCCAATTTTTTCGAACTAAAATTTGTTGCCTTGGACATTTGGAAGCTCTCTGTCTAGTCATTCCAATAGGACATCGGATTCCAAGGTCTCTTGGTCCGAGTAGTACAGTTTATGTAAATATTTGCGTAAATAAGATCGAAATTAAGGCAAGATGACAGAAGGCTACATAAATAGAAACCAATAGTGGTAAGAGAAGCAACCAGCAACAAGAATTTATAAAATATTATTAACATACAATGACGGTATTTTGCAGAAAACGAACGTGCATAAAGAAATTGAAAAAAAGATACACGAAAGGCTAGTAGGTGGAAATATCGTTGATTTAATCGCTTAGTTGGAATTTCTTACATGAGGAGGACTAAATCAACGAGAACGTGCGCTACTACACTTCTTAAGTTAAAAAACGTTAAAGACGGGACCCAAATCCCACCGTATAAAATGGGTAGGCAGGTCCTTTGAAACCCCTATTTACAAATAGGTTCTGGCAAATCTTGTATAAGTTTCACAGCAATATATGTACATTATATCAATCTTTGCTGACTTCCAAATATATAATCATCAATTATCCTTTTGAATGCGTCCATGTTTTCAACAGGAACAACTGCAGAATGTAATTTGTTTCAGCCGGGGAAAAAAAGTTTGCATGCACTTCCAAATATATAATCATCAATTAAAGTGTTATAAAGTCCTTTTTTGAATGCATCCATGTTTTCAGCAAGAACAACTGCAGTAGGTAATTTGTTTCAGCCTGCGGGAAAAGAAGTTTGCAAGAACTTCCAGCTTGGCATGGTGTTTTTTCACTGTGTATTGGTGACACGGAATATATGCGGACTATGACAGCTTTTTTAACTTTAGTAGCCTCTTGATATTTAGTGCACTTGCTAGGCACTACCTAGGATATAATTTATATAGGTGGCTCTGAATCATATGCATGATTTGCGAAAATCTCTCTATAAAAATGGTTTCCAAACGCTCTGCTTATCTCACTTCTAAACTGCATTATAAACTACCTTCCAATTAATAGTTATGTAATGGCTCGATCCTTCAGCAAAAATGAACTCGTGAATTTCAGAGAATATAGGTTCAACAAGACAAAGATAAGTTCCAGTCGAAACTAAAAGGCAATCCTGAAAAACAAAGCAGTATCGGGGAGGAAGACCTGATAAAGAAAGCAGGCGGACGAAATGAAAACAAACTCGAGATCGGATGAGACACACCGGGTTTTCGGAAAAATCTACAAACACCTTTGGGCTTTTTCATTATTGCCCGCATCGAGCTTTTGGAAGCTTGTTAACGCCTAAGCAGTGTTTATACTCAGGCAACTACAATTATCAGGCCAAATCTAATGTTGTAGGTAAAAGGCGGGAGACAAAAAACATGAGGGAGTTATTGTGCACAAAACCCCGACTTGCTGTCTCAGGCCGCTGGCAAAGCCAGTGTTTCTGCTGACTACGTGTTGTCAGGTCTGAAGTAGATTAGGCAGCGGTGGCAGCAGCTTTTCTTTGATTGTGGAGTAAGTTCAATTGGACTGGAATTGTTGTGTTGCATTAGGCCAAAGGATATAATTTCTGCGGCCCATGCTGAGTCGGTGGAGAGATGGCGCGTTCAAGTAGCCCTAGACGCGCGTGTGTGCGCTAGTGGAAATTGGTCAATGGTCTGAGAGTCAGCGAGTTGGAAAGCGCCCCCTGCGAATTCGGAGGACCTTGAGGCAGCGGGCTTTGAACAAGAAAGTTAAACAACAGTGTTGGCTATCCGCCACGAATTTGCGGAAATTATCTTATTCGACCGAATGTCCTAAGCATAGACGATTCCAACTCATCAG